TTATTGTATACATATATAATAAAATGTTTTACTCTGGCCAAATACTGCTTAAAAATTAAGTAAATAAAAATACTTAATCACATTTTCTATGTGAAAAACAAGTTCAGAATTAAATTAATCTAAAATTTGACTAAAAAATTTTCAAATTACCAATATGTCGTCGCGCTTATGTCAAATAATTTTCCACTTGTAAATTTTTTTTTAAACGGAAATCTCATCTCAATTGATCTTTTTACACAATATTGTACATGAAATGTACACACATGCGAAATTTTTAAGTCATTTATCAAGGAGCAAATCTATTTTTTATTACAAAATATTGTAAAAAAAAAAATGAACTCTATAATCTATGAGAGAAATCAAGCGTATACCACTATTAAATTTGATTTACTTTTACATTCTTATAGTTGCAATTTATCAAAATTTCCAATATAATATGACGGAAATTTACAAGATGAACTTATAAAAAGGGTTCTGAATAAAAACCAAAAAACAAGATTGAGTCAAAAATAAATAATGACATTGTTTTTTACACTATACCTACATAATAACTACATTTTCCACACTATGTTAACACAAAAATATTTTTCTCGGTGCTGTACAATGTCTTCATAAAAAGTATAAGAGGAAATTTCCCGGAAAATATTACAATAAACAACGAAAATTATTGACAACTTACATAATATTTATTTCAAAATTGTTTTTTTTTTTTGTTTTTTATTTTATTATTATTGTTAATCAACATTTTGTCAAAAATAATCAAAGTATTTTTTTTTGAGCCAGGAATTATGTTTTCATATTTTCACAAACACGTGTAAGTATATGTGTTGTGTATTAAATAAATATATAATGTACAACAATATTATATTGAATTATTTAATCATATTGATGTTTATAAAAAAAAGGATATTTTTTGATTACTGTGTTATTTATAATGTTATACAGTATTTATATAGAAAATGATTATCTGAAGAAAATTGGAAAAATAAAGGCCTAAAATGGTAACAAATAGCTCTCAGATCTACAGCGTGATTTAGTAAATGAATACTTTAATAAGTACCATTGTTTAAAAGAATGAAAAATAAGAAAAATTTTTTTAAAGTGTTCGTTTTGCTTATAGCTTTTGTTCTCTAAAAGATACAAACTTCAAATAAATAATTTTTGAAAGGTTTAATAAATAGCGACTTGAAACTAATAATTATAATATTGCCTTATTTATTGTATTCGTTACAAGAGCCTTTCGAACTTTAAAAAAATTCCAATATATATGCCATTTTTTGTAATATTTGAAGCTAAATTAAAAATTTACGAACGAATATTAGAAAGATATCGTAAATTTAAAATTTCGTTTGTAAGGCTAAGGAATGAGTATTTGAAATGTATATATATATATATTATGTGTATAAATATAACATATAGCTCAGCATCGATGGGTCGCATTAATTATGTTTTTTCGTTCCTCTGTTTGTCTATCCGTTTGTTGCAGTGGTATTTTAAAGCCTACGAGTATTAAACTAGCTAACAATATTTTTAATAATTAATGAAACTTATTACTGCAAGAACCCTATTTATTTTGGATTTGATCGTAGCAGTGGTTCGAATTGCTACCATGCAACGATCTATAGAATAAATTTAGTAGTAGAAATTTAGTAGTGCTTATATAAGTTTTTGCAATAGTGGCCATATAAATTTAAAAATAAAATAAATAAATTTATTTTACATTTTTCTAGGTCTATTACCTTAGCGCCGACTAATAGCTTTGATAGTAGTTGAAAGAAACGTGTAAAGAATATTTTGACAATCTTATCATTTCGTCAAGTTAATCATAATGAAATAATAAGAATTTCTATAAATATTATTCAAAAAAATACGTGTTGCTGTGGTCAGTTGTCTGAGGTCCACACCAAATTTTTAAATATGATTTCATTTAAATATTGGTGACAACTGCTTAAGTTGTCCTGTTATCCATTTGAAGAATTGTGAGTTTTTGAACAGAAATGCAATTAACACTTCCGAGTATAAATTCAAAAAAGCAAAATTTATAGTTTAAAGACTAAAATAATAAAACTAAGGTGAAGTCTAAATAGCTATTTCTGCAAATTATTACGGATTTTATGAAACAAAATTAAAATTTCGATTCAATTATCTTTTCATGGAAATCCGAAAGTTCCTAAGAAAAATTGACGAAAGGCGAAAAATTGTTGTAACCAATGTTTTATAAATTAATAAATTGAATTCTTTGATTATTCAATAATATTAAAATGAATTATTTAGATAGATTCATTTCAAAATTGGAAGAAAACTTTAGCAAATTTAAAAGAGAATGGGATTTTGTCATAAATAACAAACTATGAAAAATTCAAAAAAAAACTCTGGGAAGAGAACATAAATGATTTTAATATACACACATACATTTCTATATGCAACACAAACTGTGAAAAATCATTAAAAATTATAAAATGTTATGCAACAAAACATTTTACTGAAATCGCCTTCTCGCTGATTTTACATAATTTTTAACTTTACATAACAATATGTAGATATTATTACACAGCATTTATCCTAGTAAAAATTCCTATAATTTATATGCATTTCATTGAATATGTGTGTTGCATCCATATATTCTTTTCATATGTGTGTATCATAACGTATGTCTACAACTTAATGTTCAGAACAAAATTTATGGATGTCATGTTCGTGTCAAATTTACCGCATGGGAAATAAATTAGGTGAACGCAAAAATATTGACAAAAGTAAGTGATGGTTAGCACGTTCATTTTTTGCTCTCTTTTTTCTCTATTATTTTTGCAATGGAGCAAACGAATGAAAAGAAAATTTTTTATACTTTTTACAAAACAAACGAGTTAAAAGGATGCAAAAAAAATAAAATATGTAAAATTTTCGTTTGCTGGCAAAAATAAGCTATATAAACATGAATACATTCGTATGTGTATGTGGGCATATAAAAGTTCGGTGATGAAAATATTGCTGTAAAGCGTATAAATTATGAAATACCTATATACGTATGTATAGGTAAAAAAGGTACAGAAATTACAAATAATTTAATCGATAGATATTGTTAATGCTTGTATAAGTAACGGTATTATCGTTATTGTTGATATTTTTGATTGGGTTTTCAGAATTTTGTTAATGTTTTCTTTTACCATGTTGTTAAATATTTATAAACATGATGTTTTTCACTTGCGATATTGTGAATTTTTTTATGTTTTTTGTTTTCTCTGATGAAACGATATTTTAAATGACGATGATTATAATGAAGTTAATAAGTTTTTAAAGAAAAACAAATAAATAAATTTAAAATTTTTTCATATGAACACGTAATATACAATATAATCGTTGAGATTGACCGAAAGGTGTAGCATAATAATTATTATTTTGTTGATCGGCTTAAAAAAATCCAAAATTTGAGAATAAAAAAAAATTATTATATTCATATCAATTAAAAATTATGTTAGCATGGGTGCTGTTAGCATCTCATGACACAATGTAATATTTTGAATATATGGTAAAAAAGAAAATTATATGGACCCATTAAATCGGGTTAAAAACAATAAAATATTGAAGGTACAGGGAATTATAAAATGATTGAGTAATTATTATGAATTTTACGAAACAAAATTGATATCATTCTGGGCAAACAATAAAAAGCGTTTAGAGCAGGGTTGTTAATAACAAATCTATAAGAAACAAATGAGGAAGAGTATATTCGAAAATATCGCACAATTTTAAGAAAGTCAGAAGAAATGTCGCATATACTTTAAACTGAAATTTTATATTTAATCAAACTAAAATTTGTGGGATTACCCGATTTATTGAAAAAAAATGTTACAAATTACCCGATGAACGCTTTCTTGCAATTTTCTTGGTGTTTTCTACGTTCTTAAATGAAGTGATAAAGACAGCCGAAAGTAAATATTGTCGTACTCTAATAAAGGGCATTCTAACCTTTCAACATAAAATTTTATTAAAACTATGATTTCTAATTCATGTACAGTTTCGTTGAAGATTCAATTGTCAAAATTGTTAACTGCCTAATTCTACCAGCAACAACAAAGTTGAAAATGAGGCTTTAAGTAGTCTTCAAATCAATTTTATACTCTTAAATATAGATTTTTTTTTTGTTTTTTTTTTTTAGAATTATATAAGAATATTATCAACGCACCTTTAAAATCCGGTATCATTATAAAAACTAGAATTTTTCTTAATTTATTCGTGTATTCAAATAATTTGAAAGCGAATACTTTTTTTTTTTATTATTGAATTTCTATCAGATTTAATTTATCAATATTTATAAGTCTAGAAAAAGGTCTGTTTTAGAAAATTATTATATAAAAAATCATAAAATTAAATCGATTTTGCGATAATGTTTGAAATAAAAAAGAAATGTTTTAACAATACCGGCTTTCGATTCTCGCATAATAGAATATTCAAATATTTTCAAAAAGAAAAAACATGTTTCAAAAAAGAAAAGATCATTTTTGATTATGTAAGAAGACTAAAAACCACCCTTTTTATTAGTTTTAAGTTTGGATGACGCAATTCTTCTTATATGAGATATGTAAGATTAACCGTTTAGAAACAAATAGCTTGAACTTGTGTCTTTAAGGTCAACATCCCAAAGGTAAAAGTTTTAAAAGTTTATTTTGTGCTGTATTTTATCTCCAGCTGGCAAATTAAATCTTTGAAATATATGAGTTCTGGACATTTTCAAAAAAGTATATCCTTTTACTTTTAGAGTCTCTCTTCAGATTTATGTTAATGTTGTTGGTTAAAGGAATGTAAAAAAAAATTGTTAAGGGAGTTTTGAAAAGGAACTATTTAAATTTCATTTTTGCAGCACTTGAAACTCACATATCTTTTATAGACATTATCGAATTGAAAAAACTAATTATTATTTTTTTAATAAAACGTTCTCATCTCTTTTATTAATATTTAATAGGAATTTAAAAAATTATATTCAAAAATTAATATAATTTGGTTTAGTATCTTCGTCTGAATACTCTACGTTTAATAGCTTTGTATCTATAACCATCATCACTCAATGTATGTGCTGGGGCTGCTTCTACAGCTGGTTGAGCTACTGGAGGTAAATATTCTTGGCTAACTTCTTGGGTTGGTGGTAAGTATTCATTATTTAATTCAGAAACATCACGACGATGACGGTATCTGTAACGTTTTACAGCCTTGTAACGGTATCCATCATTAGATAAAGTGTGTGCTGGGGCTGGTTCTGGGGCAACATCTTGAGCAACTTGAATTTCTTGTTCTTGTACTGGTGGCAAGTATTCGTTGTTCAATTCTGAGACATCACGACGATGACGGTATCTGTAACGTTTTACGGCTTTATAACGGTAACCATCATCAGATAAGGTATGGGCTGGTGCTGGTTCACCAATTGAAATTGGTGCTGGAGCAGCTTCTTGTACGAAACCTTGTTCTTGTACTGGTGGTAAGTATTCGTTGTTGATTTCACCAACATCACGACGATGACGGTATCTGTAACGTTTTACGGCTTTGTAACGGTAACCATCATCAGATAAGGTATGGGCTGGTGCTGGTTCGGAAATTGCGACTGGAGCTGGGGCAGCTTCTTGTACGAAACCTTGTTCTTGTACTGGTGGTAAGTATTCGTTGTTGATTTCACCAACATCACGACGATGACGGTATCTGTAACGTTTTACGGCTTTGTAACGGTAACCATCATCAGATAAGGTATGGGCTGGTGCTGGTTCAGAAATTGAGACTGGTGCTGGAGCAGCTTCTTGTACGAAACCTTGTTCTTGTACAGGTGGTAAGTATTCGTTGTTGATTTCACCAACATCACGACGATGACGATATCTCAAACGTTTTACGGCTTTGTAACGGTATCCATCATCAGATAAGGTGTGAGCTGGTGCTGCTTCAATTGTTTGTACTGGTTCTTGGACAATTCCTTGTTCTTGTACAGGTGGTAAATATTCATTGTTGATTTCACCAACATCACGACGATGACGATATCTCAAACGTTTTACGGCTTTGTAACGGTATCCATCATCAGATAAGGTATGGGCTGGTGCTGCTTCAATTGTTTGTACTGGTTCTTGGACAATTCCTTGTTCTTGTACTGGTGGCAAGTATTCGTTGCTGATTTCTCCAACATCACGACGATGACGATATCTCAAGCGTTTTACGGCTTTGTAACGGTATCCATCATCAGATAAGGTATGAGCTGGTGCTGCTTCAATTGTTTGTACTGGCTCTTGGACAATTCCTTGTTCTTGTACTGGTGGTAAGTATTCGTTGCTGATTTCTCCAACATCACGACGATGGCGATATCTCAAGCGTTTTACGGCTTTGTAACGGTATCCATCATCAGATAAAGTATGAGCTGGTGCTGCTTCAATGGTTTGTACTGGTTCTTGGACAAATCCTTGTTCTTGTACTGGTGGTAAATATTCGTTGCTGATTTCTCCAACATCACGACGATGGCGTAATCTGTAACGTTTAACAGCTTTGTAACGGTATCCATCATTGCCTAGCGAATGAGCTGGGGCAACATCACCGGGTACTGGTCCCAAAGCTTCGTTATAGCTTAAGACATCGGATTCTTCTTGTGGAGGTAAATATTCTCCACTTGGTTCACCGCAACTGACCAAGCCAAAGGCCAATACGCACACACTAACTGTGATAAGTAGTCTCTGTATGTAAGAAAATTATATAGAAAAATTAGAAATAATATCTGATATTTCTTTTTCAAGTATCTAAAAAAAAGTATTTTAGAATAGGGATGATTTTTAAGTGAAAAATACTTAAAAAAATCAAAATGACGAATTCTCGATTAAATAATCCAAATTACCATTTTAGCCCGATTTAATAGATATTAGTAGTATGAAGATGCTACTCTGAATGATTAAACCTCGTTTTGTTCTGTCTATTTATACTAAGCAGATGACTCTCAAATTCTAAACAAATGAAATTCAAACCATCTTAAGATTTAACCAATTTTTTTTTGAACAAAAAAAGCATTAATGCAAAATACAACCAAAACATTTTTTTTATTTGCAAAAAAACAAGAGAAAAACCATAAAAAAAGAGCATCAAAGCAAAAAACATAATAGAAAAAGCTTTGGACTTGAACTTTACGATTCTAAGGTTATTCAATTTATTTTTATTTTAATGTATTTTTTTTTTTGCTTTTCTCTAAGATTTAAGACTACAATTTATATTCTAAATTATGTTGTTAACTCCTTATGTTAAATTATCATAAGTTGGTAATAATTTCTTAGGGGCAAAATATTTTTCATATTCTGCTTTTTCTACGGTGGTTTATGAGTAAAATTTTTTTGAAATCAATTGTTACTTTTATTTTTCGTTTTAATACTCACGTGCTTTCTTAGTTCATAAATCTTAAGATTTTTATTTATAAAATAATTTCTGGTTCGATTCACTCTTGCTTTTTTTTCGGTTGTTAACTTGATAAATTTCCAGTTAAAGAAAATTCTGGTTTATTGAATAGTCAGTTTAGAAAATAATTTCTACGAAGATGGTAGCAACCACTATGTTCCTCATTTTATTAAAATTAATTAAAAGGAATTTTTTAAAAAGACATAGTTGAATGATTTACGTTGAGCATTTACGATTTTCAAATTATATTTTAAAATTTTTGTCTTTAACAATATTCTTGTCTTTTATTGAATTACAAAAATTTTAAAACATTCTTATTATTTTGCTAAATTTCTGTAATTTAAAAAATAAAGTATAAAATTTAAAAATAATATTTCTTCTAAAACGTTTTCGCATTTTAAACCCCGTTTAAGGAACATAAAATTTTGTGTTTATTTTATTATAAGTGCAAAAATTAAATATGTGCAAAAAAATTTAAATTTAGCGCAGTATGTACTAGAGTTACTCTGGAATATCTCATTATTTTACGGTTTTTCATGCTTTTTGGTAGCAGAAAAAAATATATGTACATAAACAAATAATATTGTTCAATAATAATGGAAAAGTGCTTGCAATTAGAAATTTTAAATTTTACTGTTTTGTAGTTAAAACAGCAGTTTGTGAAAATAATTTGCTCGATGTAAATTAAATTGAGATGGAACACAATAGATTTCAGATACTTACCAGTCAATAAGATTAGCAGTACAGAAATTTTATTTCGAATAAATGAAAACAAACTAATTTTAAATAAAAATATTGTGATTGGATCCTATAAAATACTGAGTTTCGAATTTTACAAAATCACCATGAATTTTTTTGCTTAAAATATGAATATTTTGGCTAGTGAATTTATAATGGTTCATTAAATATTAACCGTAGCATATTAACAACTACAATAACTTTCATCGGCGAAATTCCAAAATTGAAAAATTTTACAATAAAATTAACTGAAAAAACATTAAATAATAAAATTTACCGAAAATCAAATTTATTTTTTATCAAAAGATTTGAAAATAAAATATTTGATTAAAAATTACCCACCCACCTATTGAGACTAAAATAGAAATTGACTTTTAACAACACCATGATGTTCTAAAATTTTATGATCTACCATTCAATGAATTTAGAATTGTATTTTAATTGAATTCAAACTAACGTCTCTATTTCAAATGTGTATTACCAACAAAAACCATTCAAGGTTAAATTTTTAAGCAATTATAATTTTTTTTTTTTAAAAAACTCTTTTGCACAAATCATTTTCTTCTTCTTTCTGTTATAAAAACAATCACACAATTTAATTCTTGTTATCAAATTTTGTCTTAATCTTAATTTACAATTTCACTCTTGATTTTAGCAATTAATTTAATTTGTATGTAAATATTAGAAAAAAAAAAACAAGAAAAAAAAATCGCTTTACTAATATAATTTTATTCAAATTATAATTCATTAGAGTATACTAATGAGCATATTAAGACAGTACATAGTCTACTTGTACGTAAAAATAAAAACAGTTATGTAAGCAAAATCAAATAAATGTTAAATTAAATAATAGTTTAGTGTTAAAAAAAAGCCGTATTAAAAAATTGAATAGTATTGGAAACTTTATATTCTTGATTTTTGCAATATCAAGAATCACAATTAATCGGCAATTTGATGAAATTGTTAAAACCAAGTTGTTTACCACCAATTCCATTTTCCAACAGGAAATATCGTAAAAATAAAATATTTATTAACAACGTTATTGTTAACACTGTTGAACAATATTATCTGAGTCATTACGCTATTCTTACATTACGTCACATTTACGCGCGTATCATTATGTTATGTTAGCGCTACATTGTAAATGTTGCTAACAAGACTTTCTAAACAAATCATTCAAAGCATCTAAATTTTTTTGACCAATTTTTCGTCAATTTTTCGGCGATCAATTAAGAGGTCTAAAATGTGAAATGTGTTGCTTACAGAACCGTTTTTCAAGAAATATTTACAAATTATTAGTAATTTAAAGTTGCTGTATGGAAGGGCACTATTGTACAGTTGGTAAATATATTGTGCATTAAAAAATTAGTTTTACTGTGTCCACATATTACAGCTATAGTTGGTTTATGATTATTTGCGAATGACTTTATTTCTATCCACAACATTTTCATTTGATCATAAAAAACAAAATTTACACTTTTATTGTTAATTGCACCTCATTATATAAAGGCCGTTAATCTGAAAAAAAAAAAAACACGACAAAATTTGAATAAGAATCATCATTATTTTTATAATTTTAATTAAGCATCAATTACTAAAAGAAAAATTTTGCTATTTTGAAACCTTAACTCTTAAACGCATATACGATAGAAAAAATGTAAGAGTTGCTCATATCAAATTAGATTTAATTAATTTTTAGTTTTATTTTAATTCTTTTTTTTTTCTTTCTTTTTGAATTTTATAATTTTGAATGAAAATCTCATAAAAGCTTCTAAAACATCTTCAAAATATCAAAAAACAATAATAAAAAAACAAAATGTATTTTCAAAATTTAAAATTTGTGTCTAAAAGTTTTCTGGTTTTTCTTGTTGCTTAATTGTGAATTACAATAAGCAGCGAATAGCATCTACAAAAAAAAACGGATGAGATCAGCATATAACCGAACAAAGGTTTTGAGAAAGTGTTGAAAAACGGCATGAAAATATCCTTTAAATCAGAGATTCTTAAAAAGGGTATCGCAACCACAAATGTGGCCGGCCGCAACATAAAAATGGTCGCGCGACCATTAAAATTCGATAGTTATAGTTCGATAGAAGGAAGATGAGAAAAGTCGCTTAAGGAGCATGGCCAACATAAAAACCATTAAACCTTAAATTCTAAATATAAAATGTAAATGTGTTTGTTGCGTATTGTAATAAAATGAATTCGAACTGATTACCTTAGTTTTAATGCTTAATTAATATTCTTAATACTTGCATAACTTTCTGTTTTAATTTTTTTTACAGTATATATGTATGTATATAAGAAACATTTTTCTAAATATTTTTGCAAAAATTTGAAAATCAAACTAGCCGGGGTCACAAAATTATTGCCCATTAATTATTTTTGTAGTCGCGTTGTCATGGATATGAGAAATATTGCTTTAAACATATCTTTCAAATTTTGAGAATGCAAGTAAATTTTAAGCTATTTTAAAAACTATAAATTTGATTTTTAGCAGAGTTTCATTTTATAAATTTAGAAATTCTTAATATTTTAATTTTATTATGTCGTCTATTAGTCCAAAATCATAATAAGAAATGTATAAGATCGGTCTGTAATTTAAGTTTCATTTCCCAGCCCTGATATTCTCAATAAAACATTAAATTCCCTTGAAATTTAATGCACAACTGGATTTTAAACCCTGAATTTCAGAGAAATTTAGGAGAAATAGAAAAACACATTTCTGTTTAAAATTCGTCACGTGAAATTCGATGCCATCGCATCACCTTTCTTATAGTATGTAATGCGGTCGATAAAAAGCCAAATATACATACATACATATATAACAAAGATAATACAAAATCTTTGAGAAAAGTGCTATGGTTTTGCACAACAAGTTTTACTATGATTCAGTTAAAATATAAAATGCTTATTATGATAAATTTCTGAACTAATTAAGATATGTAAATTTATTTTACTTGATTTTTTTTTTAGATTTCAGAAAAAAAAAAGATTGCAAACTTTTGAAATATTCATGAACTTTTATAATTTACAATATTCAAGATATAGAAAAAAAATAAATGAAGAAAACAAAAAAAAAAAACTGCTAAAATCTTTATTTCAAAGTAAATCAACGTCTTGACAAACAAATCAAAATTGATTAAATTGAAAATTATGCTCGCAACAAAAAAAAACTCGCATTTTTTTTTCTTCTTCATTTTTAAATTAATTTAATAGTAACATGATTATCTTTTCCCGTATATGCTGATTTTATGCTTCTTGACTAGACAGAATTTCCTTCAATTTTATCCAAAATTTTTTATTAAAAATCATAATATTATACTTTAGGTAGTAAATTGTCGATGTTTCCCGTTGTTGCAAGATAAGCAAAGAAGAACCCAATAAAAAAGAAATTTAAATGACGTGTTTAAAAATACTTTGTATAAAAATTCACACTTCCATTCCAAAAAATTAAAATGGGACAAAATTATTGCAAAATTATTTAAGTAATTTCATCCATGCCCTTTTTGATAATCATCACCAATTTATGATTTTTTTAATATGAGTATCGTAGCTGTGATGCTACGAAAGTTTCGCATTGAACATTCGTATAGTAAAAATTATTAAGCCATATTCTGAAAACCTTATCGTGATCGACGAAGGGATCATAATAAGAACGGATATAAATTTTTTACACTATACGATTGATGAATTTATCTTAATTTTAGTCGAATAAGCTGCGAAATCAAAATTCTGTGTCACAGTGTTCGCGAGTGAAAACAAAATCGCAAATAAATCAAAATGAAAAGAAAACATTTTAAAAACAATCTTACCGCCATTCTTCCTCGCTCCTCTTTTTTTTTGTTTTTGCAAAAAAAAAAATGCAATTAAAATATCAATTAATTTTTTTTTTTCAAATCCTCATCCTCTACATTTCCAGTTATCTTGAAAGAAAGATCTTAAAATGTTCAAAAGTTGCTGATGTTAAAATATTTTTATTGCGTGTCTGCTAGAAATACTCAATTGCGGCTATTTTGCCGAAATACCCGCATTTTCATCATCTTAGTCATATTGCAGAATATTGGCGATCTTTTTAAACAGAACAGCATCAAACGCTATTCCTACACCTATGTGAATTGGCTATGTAATAGAATGCGCGCGTACTTATTAGAAGAACTTTTTCACTTAGCATATTTTTAAAAAATTTATACGCCATTTGAATTAAATAATAATTAACTAATCCAATTACTTACGGTATATTTCAATTTACACAATTACTATTGTGTCATATTTTTTGTTTTTAATGTTTTATAAATTTATTTATGGAAGTACAAATCAAATTTTAGTAAAGAAAGAAAAAACTTCAAATTTATTTAAGTTCATTTCAAAAATTTCAAAATTTTGCTTTTTGACTCTTTACAATTTTTTAATTCTATGTAACACAAAAGACTTATATTTGATACCGCATTAAAAATTTATTTTAATCTTAAGACTCAATCTCACATCTTGTTAGATTGAGTGTAATCTAATATTAATAAAATTTTTTAATAATATAAAATGTTGAGACCAGACATTTACATAAATAAAAAAAAAATCCTTTACATCCTGCAAAAAGTCTATTAACAATTTAATAAATTTTTTCGACAACACTCAATGCATGATTCGGTATTTGTCAGCAAAAGCAAAGTAAATTTTCAAATTCATTCTCACAAATGTATTTGGGGAAAAATTAACTTCAATTTTGTCAAACGCGAGAATTAGAAATAAAACATTAAAAATTTTTTATTATTTTAAATATTTTTGCAAACACATTTTTTTATAGTTGCATAAAAAATAAGGAATTAATAATTTTCATTTCTATATCAAAAATTTAAGCTTTTTGTTTTGAAAGATTCGCCGTGGTTAGTTTATTTGTTACTATTTCATACGTTTATTATCTTTAGCTTCGTTCAAAAGCTAACAAAAAATGCATTCAATTTAAATTAATTACATGATTTGCATTAACAAGACTACTAATTAATAATTTATTGATCTGTGTGTCTTTATATCTTTATGCTTCACTATATACTATAACTACATAACTATCAATATACGAACATTTTTTTTGTTTGATTGTCAATGATTGCCGAAAAAAAATGTTATTTTAAACACTTATTCGCTTATAAATGTGTTAACAAATTAATAAAAGAAAACATTTTTATTAATTAAATAAAACATTATTTTCATTATAATTTTATAAATATAATTATTCAATATTTTATCAATATTTTCGTGTATGTATATATTATATTATATATAAATTAATGTATGTATGTATTTATTGTAGTTTATATGAATGAATGTATAAATTAAAATAAATTATAACATAAAAATTGCTCCCACAATGTCTGGTATATCGTTTTTTACTAAATAGTAAACTTGTACCTCTGGTTTTAATTAATATTTTTATTAATATTTTATTTTATATAATTATTTTGCGGGAAATTTACGTTTTAGAAAAGACTTCTTAATTTTGCAGTATTACTTACGATATTAAATAATATATTAATATATTAAATTTCTTAATTGTAAAAATTATTCAATATATTAATATTTTTATATTTTGGATAATAAAATTAGAATTTTTTTAAATCACCGGCTTATTTGCATATTATTTTTAAATATTATTAAAAATTTGTTATTACCAAATTATGTTAAAACAAATCATATTAATATGAGTTTTTATTAATTAATTTATATAAAATTTTATAATTTTGGATTTTTATTTTAAAAATTTTTTTAAAATCTACAAAACGTATTCCGGAAATATAAGATATCTAATTTAAAATAGTAAAAAAAAAGAAAAACGAAAATAAAAGAATATGAAAAAAAAAACAAGATAATCTCATTGAATCGTCTACATACTCTTTTAGTACGTAAAATTAGAGGTGGAAACTTAAAACAAAAGCGATTTTTGGAAAAATCTAATACATACATACATAATTATATATTATAATAATGTGTACATATATAAAAATTAAATATTAGGTAGTAAGCGTTTGGTATATTGGTTTTAGAAAAACATGTAAATGAAAAACTTATTAAAAAAAACTCGTTCAATTAGAATAATATTAATAGTAATCCGTTCAGTATAAATACGCAGAACAAACCCAAATTTAATCATTCAATACGAATTCTCCAGTCTAAAAACGTTGAAAAACAGAATTAGGCTAAAATGGTAATACAACTAAAATTAAAAGAAGAAAATAAATAGTATATTTAAATCAAAGTGTTAAAAAATATTGCAATTACAATTAAAGTTGAAAAAATTTATATTGAAAAAAAAAAATTATTAAAAAAATGAAAAGAAAGATTTATACTAAATTAAAATTTCTAAACTCAAAACATTCATAATTTGTGAATTAAAAAAAATTAATAAACAAAAAAAAAAAAAAAGGGATAAAAATATAATTAAAATTTTGTTTTTCTTTTTTTATTATTGTTATAGAAATTACTTTTAACTGTTAGTGTTTGCGTTTTGGCCTTTGGATTAATTAATTGTGCCGATCCAAGTGCAGAATATTTACCACCTGCACAAGAAGTAAGCCAAGAATATATTCCACCAGCAGTAGAAGAACCTGAACCAGCTGCTGTATTAAGTGATGATGGATATCGTTATAAAGCTGTAAAACGTTTAAAATTCCGTCACCGTCGTGATGTTTCAGAATTAAACAGTGAATATTTACCACCAGCACAAGAACAAGAAGTTTCAGTTGAACAAGATATTGCACAAGCTCCAGTTGCTGCACCTGAACCAGCACATGAATTAGCAAGTGATGGTTATCGTTACAAAACTGTTAAACGTTACAGATATCGTATTCGTCGTGATGTTTCAGAATTAAACAATGAATATTTACCACCAAATCAAGAACAAGTTGCCGAAGTTGTACAAGAAGCAGCACCAGCACCAGAAGTAGAACCAGCCCATGAATTAGCTGCTGATGGATATCGTTACAAAACAGTAAAACGTTACAGATTCCGTCATCGTCGTGATGTTTCAGAATTAAACAATGAATATTTACCACCAAATCAAGAAGTAAGCCAAGAATATATCCCACCAGCACAAGAAGCTGCTCCAGCACCTATTGCAGCTCCAGAACCAGCCCCAGCTCATGAATTAGCTGCTGATGGATACCGCTACAAAGCAGTTAAACGTTACAGATTCCGTCATCGTCGTGATGTTTCAGAATTAAACAATGAATATTTACCACCAAATCAAGAACAAGTTGCCGAAGTTGTACAAGAAGCAGCACCAGCTCCAGAAGTTGAGCCTGCCCATGAACTAGCCGCTGATGGATACCGTTACAAAACAGTAAAACGTTACAGATTCCGCCATCGTCGTGATGTTTCAGAATTAAACAATGAATATTTACCACCAAATCAAGAAGTAAGCCAAGAATATATTCCACCAGTACAAGAAGCTGCTCCAGCACCTATTGCAGCTCCAGAACCAGCTCCAGCTCATGAATTGGCCAGCGATGGATACCGTTACAAAGCAGTTAAACGTTACAGATTCCGTCATCGTCGTGATGTCTCAGAATTAAACAATGAATATTTACCACCAAATCAAGAACAAGTTGCCGAAGTTGTACAAGAAGCAGCACCAGCACCAGAAGTTGAACCAGCCCATGAATTAGCTGCTGATGGATATCGTTACAAAACAGTAAAACGTTACAGATTCCGTCACCGTCGTGATGTTTCAGAATTAAACAATGAATATTTACCACCAAATCAAGAAGTAAGCCAAGAATATATTCCACCAGCACAAGAAGCTGCTCCAGCACCTATTGCAGCTCCAGAACCAGCTCCAGCTCATGAATTGGCCAGCGATGGATACCGCTACAAAGCAGTTAAACGTTACAGATTCCGTCATCGTCGTGATGTTTCAGAATTAAACAATGAATATTTACCACCAAATCAAGAACAAGTTGCCGAAGTGGTACAAGAAGCAGCACCAGCACCAGAAGTTGAACCCGCCCATGAATTAGCTGCTGATGGATATCGTTACAAAACAGTAAAACGTTACAGATTCCGTCATCGTCGTGATGTTTCAGAATTAAACAATGAATATTTACCACCAAATCAAGAAGTAAGCCAAGAATATATCCCACCAGCACAAGAAGCTGCTCCAGCACCTATTGCAGCTCCAGAACCAGCCCCAGCTCATGAATTAGCTGCTGATGGATACCGTTACAAAGCAGTAAAACGTTATAGATTCCGTCATCGTCGTGATGTTTCAGAATTAAGCAACGAATATTTACCACCAAATCAAGAAGTCAGCCAGGAATACTTACCGCCAGCCCAAGAAGCTGCCCCAGCTCCAGTTGCTGCTCCAGAACCAGCACCTGCACATGAATTAGGAAGTGACGGTTACCGCTACAAATCTTTAAGACGTGTAGTTTATAGACGGAGATATTAAAAATTTTTAGGTTATATAATATGAAAATTCCTATATTGTTATCCTTTAGTAGTATAATAAAACAAAACTAATATAAAACAATTGTATTATCTCTACTCAATATGCAAATTTGAAAATGAATATTAGAACACTTTCAGGTCTATATTAGAATATTATTATATTAAGCGAGTTAGACCATGAAGTATTACACCGAAATCATGATTTGAACTTAGTATTGAAATAGTTTAAGAACATGCAACAGAAAGCTCCCTAGAAAAAATATTAGACGATACTTGTAAGTTGTAGAACGCTCTCAGTTAAAAGAAATTCACTTTCAAGAGAAGTATTGTTTCAAATAATTTGATTAAATTTAACGAGCTATTGATGAAGCACTCAAATTTTATGATTAATTATAAAATACGTGATTTTTCATTATTTTTATTGTTTATAACAATTTAAATATGATATATGTGATCAATCTCAGAAATGTAATCATATTCGTCAAAAGGCGTATACTTAAGATTATGTAATAAAACTCTGTATCTTGAGATTCTATAGTCGGACAGAAATGATTCAATACGCGAATTTTGCTAAGAATATTAAATAATATAAAAAAAGTCGAAAATTGCTGAGTTCCGACTTTGTCGAAAAGTAGATTCAAAAAAAGTGTGGCAATTGAGACTTTCTGAATTTGTTTTTTGATGTTTTCTTTTTGACTTCTCTTACATGATTAAAAGTAAAACTTTCTCAAATTAAGTCCATAGATGGTTTCCAAGATATCAGAACTTTTTTAATAAGGGCAAACTTTCTTTTCTATAAATTCTATGAATTACTACACTTACATTTAGTATGTATTGTTATTGTCATGTGTAGATGTAAACTCGAACATACATACATATAATAATTATAATTTTACATTTTCAAAATTCGTCATAAGATAAATTTGAATAATAAGAAGATTTTATTGCAACTTGTAAGCAAAAAGTCTTAGTTTAGTAATTCACTAGGTCTGTAGAGTCATTCCATATCCTGACGCTATTTAGATGTCAATAAAGCATTTCACTATCTCGAGAAGATATTCTGAATCTTCATAAGCAAGCTACTATAGTTAAAAAATATTTTCGCAGATGGAAAACTGCTGAATGATAATAAATTGCAGATAGAAAATTTCAAATTAAGTTTTTAAATCTTTTTCAGAGCATTCGTAAGTCTCTTCCTACCTTGAGCTTCTTTAATTCCTTGGCAATAATTTTCTTCACCAATGCGGTCCCTAATTTTCAATTAAGAACAAGCACAAAATTGCTTTGCTTTTAAATTGTAAATAAATATTGATCAGCTGAATATTTATCTTTGCCTACAACCAAATCAGAGCCATTTATGTTTAGACAAGCAATATCAAAGTAGACTTCACCAGTTGTTTTAACAATGTTATACTAAAAACTGTTAAAAACAATATCTAGTTTAAAATATGAATTAATCTAAACAAAACTTACAAATTTAAAAATTAGAAAACTTTTTTTTACTGTTGTAATCTACGTCAAATACTCCTGCGAAATTGTGTCTGCCACCTGAATTTTGTTTTTGAATTTAAGGTACCAAATTACATCTTAGGAAGTTCGAATTTACAAACTTAATAAAAAAGAAGCTTTTCCAACACTCAGAATTGAGTTTACTGTAATTGGCGTTATGTACATTTTGATTGACCATAAATATTTTTACCGAATTTTGTAATAGTTATGAGTAAAACAACTAATTTTCATTAAATTAACATAATTCTTTAATCCGAGGTGATGTGCTTGTTAATTTGTTCACGGAAGTGAGTTTCGTATTTCTTGCATCACCAAAAAGAGAGAAAAAATGGCGATTACCTGCTCCTATTCAATCTAGGTTTTCTGTTCAAGAAATTTTAATTGCTATTATAAAGTTTTAAATAATTTTCTAAATAAATAAATATTTTTTTCTAATATTAAGACTAAACGTGACAATATTATAATATAGAACTTAAACAAAATATGTCAACAACTTCTATTTCGTCCATTTTAAGCTATTAGGATATGTGTATTTCATATTTTCTGACCATTTGTCCAAATTTTTTACAAAATTATAACGCACACTCTTAAGAATAATTAAAAATTAGTTCAACATCGATGTATACATATTCGAAAAGTATTTTATTAGTTTATAATTATAAAATAATTCAACATCTTTAAAAACCGTTGGGGTAGCTATCATTTATCTCAATTAATGTAAGCTTTTAAGTAAAAATATGTAAAGTACAAAGGTTTCCGATCAACTAAATTAATTCATCATTAAAATGCGAAATTAATTCTTTATTATCAAATTCAAAGCTTTATTAGTTACTATACGAAATTTTGACATTTTAGTTATAAAAATTATGAATTGAAAAAAAGTATCAATGAAAATCTCGTTAACCATTCATAAAATTAGAATAATTTAGATATAGATGTCTTTAATATAAATACGAAGAACATAATTAAATTAAATCATTAGCACGCTGATCTTTAAACTAGAAAGACTTATTTCATAAAATATAAAATGGTAACATTAGAAAATATGAAACTATTTTTTCTGAATTTTTAATTTATTTTCCATATTGATTATTAATCAAATTTTTGTATTTTTCTATAGCGACTATTGGTGGCACTCAGCCTTTGCGCTTTAGCCTTCGGTTTTATTAGCTGCGGCGAGCCCAGCGGAGAATATCTACCTCCCAATCAAGAAGTTAGCCAAGAATATTTACCACCAGCACAAGAAGCTGGTCCGGTTCCAGAACCAGCCCATGAATTAGCTAATGATGGATACCGTTACAAAGCAGTTAAACGTTACAGATTCCGTCATCGTCGTGATGTCTCAGAATTAAACAACGAATATTTGCCACCAAACCAAGAAGTAAGCCAAGAATACTTACCCCCAGTACAAGGAGCTGCTCCAGAAGCTGCCCCAGCTCATGAATTAGCCAGCGACGGATACCGTTACAAAGCAGTTAAACGTTACAGATTCCGTCATCGTCGTGATGTTTCAGAATTAAACAATGAATATTTACCACCAAACCAAGAACCAGTTGCTCAAGTTGTTCAAGAAGCAGCACCAGCTGTTGAAGTAGAACCAGCTCATGAATTAGCTGCTGATGGATACCGTTACAAAACAGTTAAACGTTACAGATTCCGTCATCGTCGTGATGTTTCAGAATTAAACAATGAATATTTACCTCCAACCCAAGAAGTAAGCCAAGAATACTTACCACCTGTACAAGGTGCAGCTCCAGAAGCTGCCCCAGCTCATGAATTAGCTAGTGATGGATACCGTTACAAAGCTGTAAAACGTTACAGATTCCGTCATCGTCGTGATGTTTCAGAATTGAATAACGAATATTTACCACCAAATCAAGAACCAGTCGCTCCAGTTGTTCAAGAAGCTGCACCAGAAGCAGAACCAGCTCATGAATTAGCTGCTGATGGATACCGTTACAAAACAGTTAAACGTTACAGATTCCGTCATCGTCGTGATGTTTCAGAATTAAACAATGAATATTTACCTCCAACCCAAGAAGTAAGCCAAGAATACTTACCCCCTGTACAAGGACCAGCTCCAGAAGCTGCCCCAGCTCATGAATTAGCCAGCGATGGATACCGTTACAAAGCAGTTAAACGTTACAGATTCCGTCATCGTCGTGATGTTTCAGAATTAAACAATGAATATTTACCTCCTACCCAAGAAGTAAGCCAAGAATACTTACCCCCTGTACAAGGTCCAGCTCCAGAAGCTGCCCCAGCTCATGAATTGGCCAGCGATGGATACCGTTACAAAGCAGTTAAACGTTACAGATTCCGTCATCGTCGTGATGTTTCAGAATTAAACAATGAATATTTACCACCAAATCAAGAACCAGTCGCTCAAGTTGTTCAAGAAGCTGCACCAGCTCCAGAAGTAGAACCAGCTCATGAATTAGCTGCTGATGGATACCGTTACAAAACAGTAAAACGTTACAGATTCCGTCATCGTCGTGATGTTTCAGAATTAAATAATGAATATTTACCACCAAACCAAGAAGTAAGCCAAGAATACTTACCTCCAGCACAAGAGGCCGTTTCAGAACCAGAACCAGCACACAGTTTAGGAAATGATGGTTACAGATATAGATCAATTAGACGTAAAGTTTTTAGACGGAGATATTAGTCCAAAATTAATATAATGTAATTAGAATAGAATTTTTGGGACACTGCCTGAAAAAATATTATAAGATCTGTAATAAAAAAGTTTTGTTAAAAAATTACTTTTGCTGTTTGTTTCTTCAAATTTTGCAATTTGTACTATATCCGAATTGTGATATATTCCGAAAAATCGACGAAGCTATTAATTTACTAATCTAAAATATGAAAAATAATAAAATAATAAATATGACGTAGGAAAAGTCTGGATATTCAAACTTACATGTTTCATATCAAGAGATATGCAAAAAATGCTAATATTTTTCTACAACGATTTTGATTATTTTAGAATGCAACTTAATTGCTTAAATTTACACCTGATCATCGTCCCAAATACCATATTTTAAAAAAAGCAATAATAATTGTATCGTCTTTAAACGTTAATTTATGGTAAAATTGTTAAGGAAATATTAAAGTAAACAATCTGACAGCTTAACTGAAAATTTCAAGTATTGTTGTAGCAGAACATTAAAGAAAACAAAAATTACGAAAAAAAATTATTTTTATAATATTATCAATACTTACCTGATTAAGTTAAAATAAAATCACAGAAAAAAATTTTAACAAAATTATCTTTGTGTAGAGCAATGATACTTAAACATCTGCATATTATTTATGAACCAAGTGAAAATAAAGTCTTACGAAATCAATAATACGTACGTAGTGGTTATTTACTACGATATAAAAGTAGAAATTACATTTTGGAATCAAAACATCCTGAAATTATTACTATTACACAATTTTTTTTCACAGTTCTTCAATCCTTAGAACAAAATCCAACAAATTGATCGCAAAATACAAGATGGATGGTCGTAATAATAAACTCCAATGAATACGAGTATCATAATATCGTAAATAGTAAAATAGAAAAATGTACATATGTTTACGAAGAATATGCAACACTAATTTATTATATTCTTGATATATTTACGATAATTTTCAAGCTCTTGAATAGAAGAACTTCTGGATGTTTCAACTGTTTCATGTGTTATATTATGTCCGCCTTAATTAAAAACATTCATTTAATTATCAATAATTTTATACTGAAAAGGTTGAAAACAAAAAACAGAAAATTTTTTTCTGTGTATGTCTTTGGAATCTCCTCTTTTTTATACAATATTTATACATTATGTATATACCTACATAAAATTTGTCTTGTTTTGCCTAGTTATCTTATAATATTCATTTTCAAATTGATCGTCAAAGATTTTGAAGATAATAATAATAATGATCTTGCGAATCACTTGATACATAGATAAATTATTGTATTTCTTTAAGTTCTTAATTAGATTTCCGCAAATCTATTAAATAATTAGTCTAGACATTTGAACAAGTAAAAAAATTAAAACAGTCTAGAAAAATATTAAATGAAATACCTATTTTGAAGTTCGAAAGTTCCTGAAATTCTATTATACACTTGTATAAATGAAGATAAATTTATTAGACATCTAGTAGAATATTAAAAATAGGTACATTTTACATGCACACACATTTTGATGAGGCTATTTGTTTTATATTTTAATTCATTTTAATCCATCATTATCATAATAATCGTCATAATTACCATCAAAATATATAAAAATAAATCCGGTTTTTTTTTTCTATTTTATTGAAAGCAAAATTTTTGATAAAGTTCATACATAATATGTATGAATGAGTAGGCATATAGTATATGTACCTATGTATACATACATTATAATAATAATAAATGATTGCTATTGTTATATAAGTTGTCGACTAATGTTTAATTAACAATTTGACATGTAAAATTTATATTAAAAATAAAAATTATTTATATTAGTATTTTGAAACCCAATAATTTAATTTTATACTTGTTCTAAGAAGCATATACAAATTTTGTAAATATTATTGATTTGTTCGAAGTCAAAAAACAAATGAAATTTGAATTTTTAATTAATACATACAAATGTTTATTATGCTTACCTCTTTGCACATATACAGTAGTGAACAAACTAAATTGAACTTCAAGTAGGCTGTGCTCAATTTTAAAACAATATCATTCCTCGTGTGATTTGTTATTACACAAAATACCGTGCCAAAAATGTAGTTTGAAAATATACTAAAGGTTTAAGTTTACTAGATTTAAAAGTTTACTAATTATTATTTTTTGTTAATATTTACATTTAACTTTACCCAAAATTTTCACAATCAACTGATTTTCAACAAACTTATTCTCCAAAATGAGGAAATTGTACTCTTCAACTTAACTAAAGAAGAAAATGTGGCAGCGAATTCAGCTTGCGAGGAAAACATACCACATACAATTCGTTGGGAGCTAAGGAATGAATCAGAGAGGAGACGGTCAGAGCGCTGGAAAAGTGTTCCTGAACTGCGGCAGACCAAGAAGCTCTTGGGATATTATGAACAGAAGCGATTTCAGAAAGTTGTGGGTATGGACAAGAACAAGTGAGAATTCTCACGAATCGGTCACTGTAGATTCGGAGGGCACCTCAGTCGGCTGGGCCTGTAAAAGTGGGACAATTGCAGAGTCTGTGGGGAGACCTCAGTGCAATGTCTGGAGGAGTGCAATGCTTTCAGTTATTGGAGAAAAGAGGCGCTAGGGAGCTGTACTCTCATGGCACCGGAGTTGCGTTCCTCCGAATCTCACAAGCAACTTGAGTTGATCATGAGGGTGGGTCTCCAGCGTGTATTGTATAACACTCAGAGAGGAGCGCACAATAAATCCTTTATACGTGGTCGCGGTGCATTTTTGTCCCCGTTGTACAAATCTATAATCTACAACTTAACTAAGAAAACACAAATTAAAATAAATTACGAAACAATTTCTCAAATTAAATAATTAAACTGCTGTACTAAAAAAAGTAAAACCTCTTTCATAAAGTTCATTTAAATTCTACACGTTATACATATGTATTTTTGTTTTTGATTTTTCTCTATTTCGCTACTGTATATTTACTAAACATACTAGTAGAGGTAATATTGCGAACCACCAAAAACTATGTTTTTGACATTTCGATTAAAGGTGTTTGTGTTACAGACAAGTTTACTTACTGTGAATATGTAACTTTTTGTTTTATGTTTTAATAAGACTTCATTAAGACATGTCATATAGGACTCTTTCATACATGTTCAATGTAATGTATATTACATAAAAGAACATTTTGTATATGGGTACATATGTATACGTGTATATATAACTTCAATATAAAATGTGAAAAGGTTCTAAGTTTATTTTTTCTAGTGAAGAGGTTTTATAAAGTCTATGACCTTGGTTAATTATATAAGTTTTACTTGTATATAATTTAAAGAATGTAAATAAGATTATGCTATATGAGAATATAATTACGTGAATACACATAATATCGTACCTACATGATTTATTTTTGTAACCAGCGCTCAGTGTATATGAGATTATGAACATATTATGCACATACATACATATATTACGATTTGAGTATTATAAAACGATGTAGGTTGGATTTCAATCTTTATAATTTTTTTTTTTTTGCTTTACCTGTACCTGTCAACTTTATGGTACACCAATTAATCAAGTGAGTGAAGAAAAAAAAAATGTGCCGTGTAAACAAGTCAAATATATAAAAATGAATAAGTCGTTTTTATTTTGTTTAATAAAGTTTTGTTGAGGAAGATCAGAAAATTAATAAATGTATTTCTCATTAAAAGTAAAATTAATGTGTATATTATGAAAACTGAAACAAAACTAATTAATTTGCGAAATTAAAGGGAAAATTAATGTAAATATTAAGAAAACAGAAACGAAATTAATCAAAATAGTTTTAATCGATTTTTTTTAATTGAAGTGATGGTAAAATATTAATTGACTGCTTAAATTTGAAAAATGCTTATAGTATACTCGTAATGTAGTTCATTACTTAATAACTATAAGAATAACTAAAAGAATTTACATACTTTCTAAAGAACTCACAATATATAAAATTATATTGAATTTCTTCCTTCATATTAGTAATGGTAATTACAATCATTAAAGTATAAAAATAAAATAAATTGTTTTGACTTTTTTTGTCATACAAGGGTGTGCCTAATTATTGATGAAAATCTTCTTATAAAGGATTTGAATGCTGTCAAACTTCGAAAAATTTCTAATCTTATGAAATTACGCCGTAGAAACGATTACATAATCAAAGGTTCTTAAAAGTTTTGGACTTTGTAATTAATTGAAAAGAAGGTAGAAAAATATTAGCCATTTTTTCAATGTCAATATTGTTAATAAGTCATTATTATTATACCCGTACGAACGTATGTTCGAAGGGTATACTGAATTTGCCTTACCATTTGCAACGCTAAGAAATAATGGTCTGAGATACAGACTCAAGTGTATGTTTTTGATCAGCGTCGAATTCTAAGTCGAGTTACTTTGTCTGTCTGTCCGTCCGTCCGTCGCAACGATAACTCAAAAACTAATTGAGCTCACCAAATTTTCACAAATGGTTCATTATTGTAAATGCCAGAACCCTATTAAAAGTGGATATGATCGGGGTACTGATTCAGGTTAGTAGGGTCATTGTGCTTGATGAAAGTTGTTGAAATTGCTTGGCCCTTTCTGGTAGCTGACATAAAACTTCAATTGCAATTTGACCATATCTCAGAAAATATTGAAAACACAGTACTGAAATTCTTGATAAATTAATATGGTAATACGACAAATTAAAGTCATAGTCAGTCCCATAGTCAGTTATGGCATGTTTATTCGCACATAGAATATAAAATTCGCACGGGTATCACCGAGTTGTCACGGTCAACTCTATTTTTTTTCGTTTTTATTTGATTTTAATAGAATTTACAATATTACAATTAGCTGGACATTAAACCTTTTTCAAAAAAAAAAGAAGAAATATCTAACGGCCATTATCTGTTTACCTATAGACTTATTTCCAATCCAAAAAGAAGTAAAAACTTTTAAATCGGTGGGACATTTCTAAATTAACGCAGAATTTTATGTTGAGC